GGCTGAGGGGAGACCTGCTGGCTCTGCAGCTGCTGAGAGGAGGTTGGAGCCAGGGGGGTCGGGCTCTGCTCCCCAGGAACAAGCCCTGGGCCTCAAGTTGTGCCAGGGGAGGTTGAGGTTGGATCTGGGGAACAATTCCTGCCTGGCAAGGGTTGTCAGGGCCTGGCCCAGGCTGCCCAGGGCAGGGGGGGAGTCCCCATCCCTGGAGGGGTTTCCAAGCCCTGGGGATGGTGCTGAGGGACATGGGGCAGTGGTGGCCTTGGCTAGAGTCAGATTAATGGTTGGTAGAGTTGGGTTTGGTTGGACTTGATAATCCTAAAGGTCTTTCCCAACCAGACCCATCCTGTGGTTCTGCTCCCAGGGATGTCACCCATGTGTGGGTTGATGCTGAGCAGCAGCTGCAGCTCAGACCTTGTGCTCAGTTATGATGGAAGCAGCAACAAACCATGATCTTCCAGGAGAACCCTGACCTGCTCCTCTTTGTCCTCGAGGGTCTCTCCCTGCTGGCAGAGCAGCACGAGCAGCTGTGTGGGTTTCAGTCCATCCCTGGTGGGATCTGGTGCTGGGGCAGGGCTGTGGGAGACCCCCCTCTGTGGGGTCAGAGAGGCTGTTCAATCCCAGGCAGACCCCACGTAGCCTCCTGTGAGCTCCCTGCTTCCCACAGCTCCTGCAGCAGTGGTTGCCCGTTTTTTACTGGAAAGCTTTTCAGGATATGAGGACTCTGGGATGTGCAGGTGCTTCCTGGTGCCTGCCCAGGGAAAGCAGGAGAGTCCCTGGAACATGGGGTGGTGTCTAAACCATCATCTCCCAGCCGTGCCTCAGTTCTCCCTTTGCCAAAGAGTTCCTGTCTCCTGAGGACCAGAAGCACAGCAGAGCTTCCCTCCTTCCCCTGTTCTCGGAGTCATCCTGGACTTTCCCACAGGGAAAGGGCTGGAATTGCTCCTTTTCCTTCTCTAGGGGAGCTGGGAGTGCAGGGAGTGAAGAGCCCAGCCTGGATCTCCCTTCAAAGTTACCAGTCACTGGTTCTGACTCCCCAGCTCTTCCCTATTCCAGTGTGTCCAGGGGCTCTTCACAGGCATCATAGAATCCCAGACTGGTTTGGGTTGGAGGGACCTCAAAGCCCACCCAGTGCCCCCCTGCATGGGCAGGGACACCTCCCAGCAGCCCAGGCTGCTCCAAGCCCCATCCAACCTGCCCTTCAACACCCCCAGGGATGGGGCAGCCACAGCTTCCCTGGGCAACCTGGGCCAGGGGCTCCCCACCCTCACAGCCCAGAATTTCTCCTGGTGCCCAAGGCCACGTTGTTGCTGTGTCACCTGGTCAAACTTAACAAGGCTGGTTTTCATGGAATCATCATTCATTCTGGAAAGCTTTTCCAGAACCCAAAGACTAGAAACCTTTTCATTTCCAGCTTCAACTTTTTGATGGCAAGTTGGGCCCTTTGGGCAGTGCTCTCTGAGCTTTGCCCCCCTCTTAACACTCTGCCCCTCAGACGTTCCTGGGGAACAGTCACCTCCTTTCTGGTCCCTTCAATTTCCAGAGCATTTCCATGTTCTGATGTTTGGGTTTGCAGGAAGGTCTCCCTGCTCCCCTGCCTGTCACAGGAGTTTTTCTCTGCACATCTTGCTCAGTTACACCAGGTAATTACATCTTGGCATGGGAAGGGTGAGAACAGGTGTAGTTTTTCAGATGAGTTCCCTTCAGAGCATCCCAGGGGTGACTTTGCTGCTTCCCTGGGTGTCCTGCAAGGGCTGCTTTTCTCTGAAGCATTTTGTCCTGCACTGGTACCACACACTGGTACCACTGGAGCTGTGCTTTTGGAACAGTCTGGCACTGTTGGGAGCTGCTTATCCAGAAGAATTCTGGTTCTCCTGTGGTGCCAGCCAGTCCCTGTGGGGCAGCAGAGCCTCCTCCTCGGTCCTTCCAGCTCTTTTTACACCTGGGCCACATTTTGATGGCTCAAAACAGAGGTTTTTTTCCCCAAGCTGCCTGGCCCGGGGGCAGGTCCTGTCACCCAGCAGGTTGTGCTCCTCAGTGCCTGTGTCTGGGCTGAGTGATGGATCAGGACAGTTGGCCCAGAGCAGCTGGTGCAGCACGTCCGTGTGCTGCCAGGTCACTGCGGGTTTGGCCTCTGCCCACGTGCAGATCTTTGGGGCCTTTCCTCTCAGGGACCTTTAATGGACCCGTTCCTCTTGGGCTTCTGTGGTCAGGACCCTGTAGCAAAGCTGGAAGGTGAAGCCAGGGAGTGAGAGGTGCTCCCCTGGGAGTGAGGGAGCCCAGGGTGGGCTGGGGTTGCAGCTGCAGCAGGGGGAGCATCACACACGGTCTCTGTGTCCAGTTTCCATCCTCATGGTTCAGTCTCCATCCCTGGGGGTGTTTCAGGAGACGTGTGGATGTGTGTCCTGGCTGGGGCCTCACCTGGCAACAAAGAACCAGCCCCGTGGCCACTCTGAGCTCCCCTCACACACACACAGGGAGGGGAGGACAAACCCAACCACAAGCTCATGGGTGAAGACAAAGGACAAGGAAGGTTCTTCACCCATTAAGGTCCCAGGCAAAACAGACTCAACTTGGGGAAAAATAACACTTGAATTTCACACTAATCGATGCCCACAGGACACAGACACACCCAGAGCAGGGCTCACATGTTACCCCACCTCTCCCTTCTTCCTGGGCCCTTCTGCCCATGGATGCAGGGGCAGAGCTGCCATCTCCCCATGGGCTGCAGGGAAACTTGTGCTTGGACACCTTCTTCTTCTTCCTCACCAACCCTGGCACTGCTTCAGCTCAGCTCCTTCTCCTGCTCCTCTTCCCAGCTCTTACCTCAGTTCTTTCTTACGTTAATGGCAGAGGCACATCTGTGGTCCCTCTCATGGCTCCTTGGCTGGTTTGGAGCAGGGGCAGCTTCTCAGCTTCTTAAGGAGCCACCCTTGGGGCCCTTCCCCCACTACCAAAAAACCCACCAAGCCAAACCAGCATGTCAGAGGCCTGGGAACAGGGTGTAAGCTTTGACTTCGTAGAGTTGGGTTAATGGTTGGTAAAGAGTTGGGTCATAGTTGGTAGGGAGTTGGGTCATGGTTGGACTCAATGATCTTACAGGCCTTTTCCAACCAAAAGGACTCTGTGATTCATGGTCCCCTGGAGCAAGACTGCTGCTGTCAGGGCTTGGAGGTGTAGAGGGGAGGTGGGAAAGGGGCTGGTGAGAGGACAGAAGGAGGATTGTGGTCAGGGGGAATGAGCAGGTGTCTTTGCCAGTTAAGAGTCATAGAATGGTTTGGGTTGCAGGGACCTGCAAGCCCACCCAGTCCCACCCTGCATGGGCAGGGACACCTCCCAGCAGCCCAGGCTGC